AGAAAATAGGTCTAATTTTCTTCCTCTCGGGTTCCTGCTTCCTTCCCAAAAGTGTTTTCTCTCAGGTCTTCACTCTGAACCATTTTTCACAGGTCATGCTTCCTTACCCCACCTCACTTCCTATAAATTGTCAGCTTTCCTGGGTCTACTAAGTTTGCTGATATCTTATTTTTAAACATTTCTCTTTGAACTAAGCGTGTTGTGCTTCAGATGGTGAGAGCATGTTGACAGAGCAGATTTATCACCTTCCTTTCTGTGGCTAGAACATTTCTATGTCCTAACATGTTTTACTTCTGTTGAGCTCACCAGAGCCATGAAACTTCTATTGCCACACTCTTCTCGGTTTTATTTTCACTATTTTTGTTTTATTTTCGTTTCTTAAACTGATAATACAATCACATGATACAAAATTTTAAATGTATAAAAGAGTATTTGATAGTGTCCTTCCCACTCCTGTACCTTGGACACCTAGCTTCTCCTTTCCAGAGCTACTCAGTGTTACTAGTTCTTGCGTATCTTCACAGAGATTTTTTTTTTTTTTTTTTTTTAAGCAGCTTAGTTGAACCTGCATGGCTCAGAAGGTTAAGCATCCGACTTCGGCTCAGGTCATGATCTCACGGATTGTGAGTTCAAGTCCCACATAGGGCTCTGTGCTGAGAGCTTAGAGCCTAGAGCCTGCTTCAGATTCTGTGCCCATCCCTGCTCGTGCTCGCTCGCTCGCTCTCACATGAAGAAACATTTAAAAAAAATTTTTTCAAATAAAATAAAAATAAAACAGCTTGGTTGAAGTATAATTTACGTACCATAGAATTCATCCATTTTAAGTGTACAGTTATTTTTAGTGAAGTTACAGAATTGTGTAGTCATCGCCATAACCCAGTTTCAGAACATTTCTGTCACTCCAAAAAGGTCGTTTGTACCTGCTTGTTATCAATCCACATTCCCAGCCCCAGACAACCTCTAATATGCCTTCTGCCTTTTCTGGACATTTCATGTAAATAGAATCATATAATATGTAGTCTTTTGCATCTGGCTTCTTTGGCTTAGCACGATGTTTTCAAGGTTCATTCATGTTGTAGCATGTATCAGTAGTTCCTTTTAATTGCTGATTAGTATTCCATTGTATGGATATACCACATTTTGTTTACCCAGTTCCCAGTTGGACATTTGGATTGTTTCATATTTTGGATAAGAATAATGCTGCTGTGAATGTTTGTGTAAAAGTTATTGTATGGACATATGTTTTCTTTTGGAATTAGAAAATTAGAATTACCAGGTCCTGTGTGAAGTTTATGTTTAAGAAAATGCCAAAGTGTTTTCCAAAGTGGCTGTATGTTTTTACATTCCCACCTGCAGTATATAAAGTTTCTTATCTCTTCACTTCCTTATCTACACTTAGTATTAGCCATCTTTTTTATTATAGCCATAGTAGTGGGTGTGAAGTGTATCTTATTATGATTTTAATTTGTATTTTCCTTATGACTGATGATGTTGAACATCTTTTCGTATACTGATGAAAAGTATACTTTTCTGTCTTCTTTGGTGAAATATCTATTCAAGTCTTTAGCCCATTTTTAAATTACATATATGGAATGTCTCACTATTTATTTAGATCTTTAATTTCTTCCGCCAGTGTTTTCAGCATGTAAGCCTTGCACTTCTGTTATTAAATTTATTCCTAAATATTTCGTTCTTTTTGATGTTGTTGTGAATGGGATTGTTTCCTTAATTTTTATTTTCAGATTGCTTATTGCTAGAATATAGAAATACAGTTGATTTTTTATCTTGTCTTATATCTATAATCTGGCTAAACTTATTAGTTCTAATACTTCTTTATGGATTCCTTAGTATTTTATTTGGACAGAATCATGTCATTTGCAAATAAAAACAGTTGTACTTCTTCCTTTCCAATTTAGGTTCTTTTCTTTCACGGGTATTTTATCAATAAGAAAGCAAATACCTGCATATGTTTTTGACCTTTTTTTTTTTCCCCCACAGACCTGGCAGCATACTTTGCTTTTTATACTTAGTCTTTCCTGAAAGTCAGTCCATTTCAGTACCTCCTACAGCTGCAGAGAAGGTGTAGTATATTGCCAGTCAGTCATATCTTCCTCACCACATATTCATATGTTTTGGTTTTTTTTGACATCACAATAGTCTCAGTTTATATGACTTTTATATTTTTTTACAATTTATATTCTAAATCATTTGTTCTTTCTAACACTTCTGTAATTTCAGAAATGCAAGTGCTCCCTTTTTGAGCTGGGTAAACTGGCACAGAGAGTGCAGTGATTATGCAAGTAGAGACTGCTAATAAAGGGAAGATCTGAGACTGGCTTAGGCCTTTGGACTTCAGATGCACAGCTTTTCCTACTGTATCAAAGTTGCTGCCATTCCTCCTGCCTGATGTATAGGGCTTTACAATGATCCCTTGTTGGATTTGGCCCATCATTCCTGTTTATTATTTTGGATCTTGATAATCATTTAGGCCCTCCCAGATATGCATTGTACAAGAAATCTCCTGCTTCCCATATCTCCAAGACATTGATATATAAAATGTTAAGAAGGAATAGCCGGAGCAAACCAAGCAACTGGACACAATAGGTGCTTAGTAAATATTTGCTGTTGAATGCAAGACATACCACTCATTAATAAAGGCCTCTCTCTGTTTTCATAATATTTGGATAAGAATGCTTCAACCACCTGTGGTTCTACCAACTTATTTTATCATTTAACCCACATAACTCCATCTTGCCCTCAAAGATGTCAGGAGAAGTCTCGTCATTTTAATCAACTCTAGCTGTCCTTGACCACACATTCTTTTGGTCTACCCATCAGTGACCATATCTACTAGAAAAACCAGGCTAATCTGGCAAGGCTCATTCTTCCTGCTCTTGAGCACTGCCTGAAATGTGCTTATCTCTTTGACCTCTAAATGCTTGTAAATGATTAGATTGGTGATCCATTCTAGCACTTTATATGTCATCATTCTTAACCCCCCAGTTTGCAATGCTTATCTTTTTGAAAATCAAAACACTTCCTGTCCCGGGTCATTTAACTTAACGTGCTCTGTATCAAGTTTCTGAAAGAAACTGTTTCAAGTCTCCTGAAGGTCCTGGGATATAGTTTATTTAGTTCAGAGGAAAAGACACCCTGTTTCCTTTCCTGAGTTGGCTGTCAATTCACCTTTACCAAAATTGCTTAAGTAGACAAGCATCTGGCATTTATTCAAAATATAGATGCCCAGACCCCTCGAGACTCCAATTCATTGTTCTGAGTTTGGACCCATCCTCCAGGAGATTGTTGTGATGAGCAAGCTTAAGAAATACTGTTTTATACTACATTTTGATAATCTTTCTGTCATTCACTAGCATTCCACCATCCACTTTAATCCATGAAGTTACCCTTCTTTGCTCTATTTGCTCTGAACCTAACTTAAAAGCCTTTTGGGCTCTTTTTAAAAAAAAAAATTTTTTTAATGTTTATTTCTGAGACAGAGAGAGACAGAGCATGAACGGGGGAGGGTCAGAGAGAGGGAGACACAGAATCTGAAACAGGCTCCAGGCTCTGAGCTGTCAGCCCAGAGCCCGACGAGGGGCTCGAACTCACAGACTGCGAGATCATGACCTGAGCCGAAGCCGGACGCCTAACCGACTGAGCCACCCAGGCGCCCCTCTTTTGGGCTCTTTAATAATTTTTGCAATACTCCAGTTATTCAGGACTTCTCATGGGGCCTTTCAGCTCTTTGTATATTTACCCATGTATAAGTATCTGAGTCTGATCTTACTGGAAAGCACCTCTTTAGTCATTCCTGGCCCTCTTTATCTCTCCTCAAAATTGTTTTGCACGTTTCAAGTTAGAATTTCATTCTGAAAACCCACCAGGCTAATCTTTGGCTAGCATCCTCTTTGGAGTTTCTTCAAGTCTTGTGAACATATCCACTCTTTTTTTTTTTTTTTTTAATTTTATTTTTTCAATTCACATCCAAATTAGTTACCATATAGTGCAACAATGATTTCAGGAGTAGATTTCTTAATGCCCCTTGCCCATTTAGCCCATCCCTCCTCCCACAACCCCACCAGTAACCCTGTTTGTTCTCCACATTTAAGAGTCTCTTATGTTTTGTCCGCTTCCCTGTTTTTATATTATTTTGGCTTCCCTTCCCTTATGTTCATATATTCTGTGTCTTAAAGCCCTCACATGAGTGAAGTCAAATGATATTTGTCTTTCCCTGACTGGCTGATTTCACTTAACATAATACCCTCTAGTTCCAGCCACGTAGTTGCAAATGGCAAGATTTCATTCTTTTTGATTGCTGACTAATACTCCATTGTCTGTGTGTGTGTGTGTGTGTGTGTGTGTGTGTGTGTGTGTGTGTACCACTTCTTTATCCATTCATCCATCGATGGACATTTGGGCTCTTTCCATACTTTGGCTATTGTCGATAGCACTGCTATAAACACTGGGGTGCATGTGCCCCTTCAAAACAGCACACCTGTATCCCTTGGATAAATACCTAGTGGTGCAATTTCTGGGTTGTAGGGTAGTTGCATTTTTAATTTTTTGAGGAACCTCCATACTTTTCCAAAGTGACTGCTCCAGTTTGCATTCCCACCAGCAGGGCAAAAGAGATCCTCTTTCTCCGCATCTTCACCAGCATCTGTTGTTGCCTGAGTTGTTAATGTTAGCCATTCTGACAGGTCTAAGTGGTATCTCGTTGTGGTTTTGATTCGTATTTCCTGAACATACCCACTCTTTATGGCTTACCTTCTTAAGACAGCTCAGGCCCTTATCCAACCATAGCAGCATTCACCTCCCTATCATAAAGTATATGGTAACATGTTCACATTGTCACAAGCTTTCTGGAGAGCAACTTTATCCCAACAAGTAGAACTGAATTAGAAAGGGCTCTTGGTAGCTTCTATGTGTTCTTTATCCTGTAGGTGTGACTATGCCATTGACTGCAGGTAATGCTAACAGGGTCTCTTTTGTTTTTCCAGGTGGCAAACCATGTGATTTCTTCTGATTCTATTTCATCTTCTACCAGTAGTTTCTGGAGCTCAAGCCCCACCGTTTGCAACAAGCAAAATGTACATACGTTAAACAAGGGTGTACAAGCAGGTAAATTACTTGAATTTAAACATTTCCATTGAAATACAAGTAGACCTTAAACATATATTAAGATATTCAACCTCACAATAAAATAAGTGAAGATTAAAACTATACTCAAATGCCATTTGCCACCTATCAGACTGGCAAAAATCTAAGTTCGGTAGTAAGTTCCTGGGCACAAGTGTAAAGGAATAGGTTCTCATACATGTAAGTTGGGAGTACAACCCCCATGAGGCAATTTGGCAGTTTCTATTCAAATTACTTTGATCTAGCACTTTTACTTTTGGAATTTAGCCTATAGATATATTGTGCATATGTGCAAAATAACAAGTGGACAGAATTAATCATTGAAGTATTGTTTATTATAACAGAAAATTTAAATTGACTTAGATGTCCATCAATAGCCAAATGTTTAAATAAATTATCATACATCCATATAACAAGACATAGGATGAGGAAACTCTCTCTCTGCTAATATGGCAAGATCTCCAACAGAGATAATTAAAAAGAAAACACAAAGTGCTTTAAAAATAAAGGAAGAAAATTGCTTGAATGTGTGCAAAAAATTCTCTGGAACCAGGGGGTTGCAAATTGAATGAATGGAGAACAGGAGTGGGAAGGAGGCTTTTCACTTATGTTTTTCTATATCTTTTGATTTTATATAAGAGAAGTAAACTCCCTTGATTTTTTTCCCCCTCCAGTCTTGTCTTTGTGTCTGTCAACCTCTTTCTTACCTGGGTGACTGCCAGGAGGACTATAAGCATTTAATGTCTTTCTCACTTTGGATCAGAACTAAAATCCTTTACCCATTGAATCCATGTGAGTGATTTTTTTTCCCTCTAATACCTAAACTGACTAAGAAATAAAAACCTTCCTTTCTTCTTCCACTTTCCCTCCCTCCTTCTCCCTCCTTCCCCTCCTGTCTGTCTCTGTCCCTCACACCCCTCTACACCACCCAGAGGAGGCAGTAGCTTGCATTTTTGAAGACTTAAAAAGTATTTGTTTACTGAATTGAATACACATGCCAACTAAGTCTCAAGGCTGCTCCCAGGATATCTGTGGATCTTTCCCCTCAGGTAACTTGGAGATCGTGAATGGTGTCAAAAAACACACTCGAGATGTTGGGATGACTTTCCCAACTCCAAGCTCTAGTGAGGCTAGAGTAGAAGAGTACAGCGATGTGACTTCTTGGTCAGAAGAAAAAATAGAAGAGAAAAGTCTTCTCACCGGTTATCTTGGGGATAAAAAGTTAAGGAAGAACAAGCAGAGTTGCAGTGAAGGTCAGTTTTTAATTCCAGTGTTGTAGCAGAAGAACTAGTGAATTTCAAGTCTCTTGCAATGCTAAGATTCTTTATTTCTAATGACTCTGTGTTGACCCCATCTCCCCACACCCCCAGCACCACCTTGGCAAATTTTCAAAGTATCTAGCACTATAATTACAATCATACCTGCAGTTCCGCAAACTCCAGGGCATCGCGGTGGTCTCTGACGGCTGAGTCCCCTGAGAGCCTATGCTGTGCACATGTCTTTGGTGAGAAGAACGAAAAATCTTTTTTCTTTCTTAAAAATATTTCCCATAGGAGTTTCATGGTTTGTTCCTGTGGAAAATGTGAAGTGTGGTCCTAAGAAGGAAAACCTGCCCAAACTTTATGGCCCTGGTATCTGCTGGTTTGCACCAATAACCAACACCAAACCGTGGAGAGAGCCACTGCGGGAACAGAACTGGCAGGGACAGCACATGGACAGCCACGGGTCACTAGCAGGCCCAGGCAGAGATCCCCCGAGGCCATTTGTGAAAGCAACCCTACAGGTGCAGCGACACTGAGTTCATTTTAGCCATGTTTAAGGTGGGGGTTCGGGGGGTGGGGTGCGGGAGGGGAGATACAAAGAAGTTAAATGTGTGATTTGGCCTTCTGAAGAATAGTCTCCTAACCCTCATTTCTGGCACTTCTAGAATTTCATCTGTTCCCACTGTCATCATTAAACAAAGGCTGACTTACTGTTAACCATTCTAAACTGTGCATTGCCCTCTGAACCTGGGACGAGGCAATAGAAGGGAGGGTGCCGTGATGCTGCCCACTGGGCTCATAGACATCTGCATGTGGAGTGCTCTGGAGGCCTGATGTTTGTTCCTCCATTTACATAACTCCCATTCCTGCCTAGCACAGGATTTAAAAGGCAGGAAGTCCCTTCTTTATATGTACCTTGGGAGCTGAACGAAATGTTACTTAATAATATATTTGTTTGAAGGGAAAATTTAAAATAGCACAATGGGCTGGGCTCTAGCCCATCAACATTTGGAAGACTTATAATTGCCACAGTCTTAGTTCTTGGTTTATTCCAAAGGCATCCTTTGATCCCTCTGATTTACCTACTGGAGCTCTCCCCCGCAGAAAGTTGTTAGATTATTCTTCAACTCTAGATATTTTCTGCACTTTAGAAACAGGCTCTTCAAACCACTGTTGGGCAGGTACTGTTTTCTAGGCCCTTAGAGAACAAACTGCATCATTAATGTGAGGTTCAGGGGCCTTTTCTCCTCCTCAGGAATCTCTTCAGCTTCACAGACCCGACTTCATCTCCCGCTCTGGGGAGAGAATAAAGCGTCTGAAGTTAATAGTGCAGGAGAGGAAACTACAGAACATGTTACAGAGTGAGCGGGAGGCACTGTTCAACACTGTCAGAGAATGGCAAGGCTGCCAGGACCCAACACGCCGGCTCCTGAAGAGAGGTACACTCTGCCTGTTCACTTTCCTGTTACTGGCTGGAGAGGGTAAAGTCCACTTCACTCCGGGGAACACGGCTCAAGGCCAGCCCAGTTACAGGGACAGAAATGGACTTCTTGTTTGCTGAGACTCAACTCTCCTTAGGTAGCAGAACCTGCCCGGTTTAGCTGTCAGCACTCTCGTGATCCAGAGAAACCCAGGTACTCTTGCCCTGCCACTGCAGCTTGGAAACCAAAGAGTCCATGAGAATGGGGTTTTTGTAAGTCAGCTGTGTGTCTGGGAGCAAGTTAGTTCCAAAAGTATAATGTTGGTTTCTTCGGCGATGGCGCTGATTCCAGGATTGCCTACCTCGTAGCGGGGTAGTGGTGGTGGTGGTGATGATGATGCCATGTAAACTTTATGTGTTTTGCCCAGGCACTGTTCTTCTTTAAGCTTATAACACCTCTCTGAGGTACATGCTATTAATATCCCTATTTTACAGATGAGAAAACAGACAAAGAAAGCCTAAGTCGCTTGCCCAAGATGATACACTGATACTGGGATTTGAACCCAAATGGGCTGGCTTCCAACTGTGTGCTCTGACAATTCTGCTAGGTGTAAGAACTCAGGAATATAATACATGAAAGCTGTGAAAACTACAAAGTGCTACCTAATGCTTTCATCACAGCCTTACCTATAAACCAGCCAGTGTCTAGTCTCTGCCACAGAGGGTTGTGTCTTCAGGAGCCTCTGGCTGCTGTCACAGTCCCCATAGTCTAACCCTGGCCTTGGCCTTGGCCCTTGCTCCCCACCCATTGCTGTCAAGCTCAAGGTAGAGGCACAGAGTCCTAGCAGCAACTTCTCCCAGTTCTTGAGCAACACACTCTTCCTTATTCAGACACTACCCACTGAAAACCCCTTCTTCTCTTGCTTAGGCTTCCTGGATGCCCAAAAGAACAGGCCTATTGGAAAGAAGGAAATGATTCAGAGGTCTAAACGGTAAGGCCAAAAGAATAAGAGTAATTATATAAAAGTACAAATCCGGCCAAATGATCAGGAGCTGTGGCTGCCCCCAGAATAAGGGCATTATGCTCAAACATTACGAGGGGCACCTGGGAGGCTCAGGCAGTTAAGTGTCCAGCTTTTGATTCTGGCTCAGGTCATGATCTCATGGTTGTAAGATCGAGCCCCAGGTCAGTCTCTACACTGAGTGTGGAGCTTGCTTAAGATTCTCTTTCTCTCTGCCTCTCCCTCTGCCCCTTTGCCACTCGCATGTGCATGTACACTCTTCCTCTCCTCAAAAAAAAAA